TATATGAGGATTGGTGTTGATAGATAAGTCATTGTGCCAGATGATTTTTGTGACACATCAATGACTTTTAACGATTTAATTTTTTGAAGAATTAATGCTTATTGTTAATTGCGTTCATTAAGTGAATTTCTAATACCTTTCATTTCTCTATTGATACAAAAAACACTTTTATTTTAATACAAAACATTTCATACATTCATAATTTATAATTTCAATTGTTCTAAAAATTAATAAAAGAATTATAAAAGTTGAAAATCAATTACAAAAGGATGTAAAGAATCTTTAATGAGACTAAACACACCTTTTAATATCCTCCTCTTAATCTTAAGACTAAATGAAGTGTTGATTCTTTTTGAATGTTATAATCTGAAAGAGTCTTTCCTTCTTCTAATTGTTTTCCTGCAAAAATAAGTCTTTGTTGATCTGGTGGAATTCCTTCTTTTTCTTGAATCTTGGCTTTAATAGCATCAATAGAATCATTTGGTTCTACTTCTAATGTGATAGTCTTTCCAGTGAGGGTCTTAACAAAGATTTGCATTTTAGTTTTAACAGTTACTTTTCATTCTCTTTTTATTCATATCGGAATCTTTTTGAAACATTTGACATCAATGACGTGTCCTTTCTTTTAAATTAAAAAAAGTTATTAATTTTCATTTCCACTTTTTATTTTTTATAAAAATGAGATATATAACATAAAATAATCATACTATTCTTTTCTATTTTAATTAAATAAAAAACAAATTATTCAGTTTATTCACTCAGAACATTTATTCAAAAATAGTAATATACTCACTCAATTAGTTAAATGTGTTTAGTGTTGAGGAAGTTTAGTTTGGCATCTAATAAAAAGAATAATGAAACGCTTTTGTGAAAAGATATAGAAATAATTTTTGTTTCTATAAAAGTTCAATTGTAATAGATAAACAAAAAATAAAAATGGTACAAAAGAGATGGAGTCAGTGATGAAGATGAAATAAAAAATAATTGAAGAAGAATAAAAGGAAATTTGATTTAAAGGATTAAACCCTATAACTTTTTCTTAAATAAAAACAGTACAATATTGGACTGAATTCGAGGGAAATATTTACAAATAAAATACTCACCATGAATCTTCTAGAAAGAAAGAAAAAGAAATGAAAATCATGAATACTTTCACATTTTATTCAAAAAAAACCCTTTAAGAGAAATAAATATGGTAAAATAATAATAGTGTAATAATAATAACATACTAAACAACAACCCTGAAAATAAAAATGGAAAAGCATGTATAACTGGATATAAAAAGGGTAAAAGAGAAAACTCAAAAGTAAAGAAAAGAGTCATGTCTAGTACAGGAGTCAAAACTATGAAAGATTTCATGTTGAATAAATCCAACATTAGAAATATGTGTGTTATTGCTCACGTCGATCACGGTAAATCAACATTAACAGATTCACTTGTTACACTTGCAGGTATTATTTCCAATGAAAAAGCTGGAGTAGCTAGATATACTGATACTAGACCTGATGAACAAGAAAGATGTATTACTATTAAATCAACATCAATTTCTATGTATTATGAAATTGAAGATAAAGAAGATATCCCAGCTGATGCTAATGGAAATGGATTCCTTATTAATCTTATTGATTCACCAGGCCACGTTGATTTCTCATCAGAAGTCACAGCAGCACTTCGTGTTACTGATGGAGCATTAGTTGTCGTTGATTGTGTTGAAGGAGTTTGTGTCCAAACAGAAACTGTCCTTAGACAAGCCTTAACAGAAAGAGTTAAACCAATTGTCATTATTAATAAAGTTGATAGAGTTATTCTTGAATTAAAAGAAGAACCAGAAGAAGCATATCAATCATTCTGTAGATCAATTGAAAATGTTAATGTTCTTATTTCTACTTATAAAGATGAACTTCTTGGAGATGTTCAAGTTTCACCAGGAGAAGGAACAGTTGCATTTGGATCAGGACTTCATGGATGGGCATTTACACTTGAAAAGTTTGCTAAAATGTGGTCAGCTAAATTTGGAATTGATAGAAAGAGAATGTTAGAAAAACTTTGGGGTGATAATTATTGGGATGCTAAAGCCAAGAAATGGAAGAAGAACGGTAAAGGAGATCATGGAGAAATTCTTCAAAGAGGATTTGTCCAATTCTGTTTTGATCCAATTACTAAATTATTCAATGCTATTATGGAAGGAAGAAAAGCAGATTATGAAAAGATGTTAACTAATTTACAAATCAAATTATCAGCTGATGATAAAGAAAAAGAAGGAAAAGAACTTCTTAAGACAGTTATGAAATTATGGTTACCAGCTGGTGTTACATTACTTGAAATGATTGTTCTCCATCTTCCATCACCAGTTGTTGCACAAAAATACAGAACATCAAATCTTTACACTGGACCTATGGATGATGAAGCAGCTAAAGCTATGGCTAACTGTGATGAAAAAGGACCATTAATGATGTATGTTTCAAAAATGATTCCAACCAATGATAAAGGAAGATTCTATGCCTTTGGAAGAGTTTTCTCAGGAACAATTAGAACAGGAGGAAAAGCTAGAATTTGTGGACCAAATTATGTTCCAGGTAAAAAGGATGATTGTGTTATTAAGAACATTCAAAGAACTATGTTAATGATGGGTAGATATACTGATCCAATTGATGAATGTCCATGTGGTAATGTTATTGGACTTGTTGGAGTAGATCAATATTTATTGAAATCAGGAACTATTACAGATTCCGATACTGCACATATTATTAAAGATATGAAATTCTCAGTCTCACCAGTCGTCAGAGTTGCTGTTGAAACCAAGAATCCATCTGATCTTCCAAAACTTGTTGAAGGTATGAAGAGATTATCAAGATCAGATCCACTTTGTTTATGTTACACTGAAGAATCAGGAGAACATATTGTTGCAGGAGCTGGAGAACTTCATCTTGAAGTTTGTCTTAAGGATCTTCAAGAAGATTATTGTTCAGGAGTTCCATTGATTGTTACAGAACCAGTTGTTTCATTCAGAGAAACTATTACAGAACCATCAAGAATTCAATGTCTTTCTAAATCAGCTAATAACCAAAACAGATTGTTCATGAGAGCCTTCCCATTTGCTGAAGGACTTGCTGAAGATATTGAAGCAGGAGAAATTAAACCAGATACAGACTTTAAAGAAAGAGCTAAATTCCTTTCAGAGAAATATGGATGGGATGTTGATGAAGCTAGAAAGATTTGGTGTTTCGGACCAGATAACTGTGGACCAAATTTGTTTGTTGATGTTACTAAAGGTATTCAATATTTGAATGAAGTTAAAGATTCTATTGTTAATGGATTCAACAATGCTATGCATGATGGAGTTGTTTGTAATGAACAAATTAGAGGAGTTAGAATTAACTTAGAAGATGTTAAATTACATGCAGATGCTATCCACAGAGGAGGAGCACAAATGATTCCATGTGCTAGAAGATGTTGTTTCGCATGTGTTTTAACAGGAGCCCCATCACTTCTTGAACCAATGTATCTTGCAGAAATTCAATGCCCAGAATCTGCTATTGGAGGAATTTACACAGTCATGTCAAGAAGAAGAGGAAAGATTATTTCAGAAGAACAAAGACCAGGTACTCCATTATTCAATGTTAGAGCTTATCTTCCAGTCTGTGAATCATTTGGATTTACTGCTGATTTGAGATCACATACTTCAGGACAAGCCTTCCCACAATGTGTCTTTGATCATTGGCAATTACTCAATGGTGATGTTACAGATGCTACATCAAAGGTTGGATCAATTGTTGCTGCTATTAGAAAGAGAAAAGGACTTCCAGAAGGTGTTCCAGGTTTAGATAAATTCTATGATAAGCTTTAAGTGACTTTTTATTAAGTATGTGTATTTAAGTGTTAAGTATTAACAAACAATTCTTTTTTATCAACTTTTTAGAATACAAAGTTATGTGAGTTATTAAAACAAAGTTTGTTAAAATTAACAGAAATTAAGCGAAAATATACAAAGAAATATTTTCTTTATTTTATTTTTTTAGTTTTTTCTACATCTATATTCACTAAATATCGCTCTATCTTTTGCTTGAGTTTCATGGTTTTACAGTAGTTTTTATCTGCCCTCTGTGACATGCAAGAAGGGCAACAAGAGAATAGCAACAATCCTATTCAATGAATTTCATACAATTTACTGTTCTTTTTCTTATTGGTATGATAGTATTCATTTATTTGAAATGGATAGAATCAAACAAAAACATTGAAATGTTGATATTCAATTATTAACTTCAATCCTTTCTAACATTCTTACTACTTCTTCTATTCTTATTCTTTCTTTCGGTTCTTGTTTCCATGTTTTTTCAATAATTTCTTTAATATCTTCTTCAACTTCTTGTATTATTGTTGGTCGTTTACCTGTTGATATGAATTCTGCTATTTTCCATGGAAATTTAAATTCTGTTTTAGGAAATGGTTCTTTCCATGTAATGATTTGTAACATTGTTATTGAATATGAATATACATCCGATGGCATTTTGTAATGTTCTCGATTAAGTACTTCTGGTGCCATGTAAATAGGTGATCCTATCCCTTTTGTGAATGTCATATTTGTCATCATCATATTAATGTTTCTTGAACTTCCAAAATCTGTTAATTTACAATTAACTCCAATATTATCATCAAGTGTTATAACAAGAAAATTATCTGGTTTAATATCTCGATGTAGTATTCCATTTGAATGAAGATATGAAATTCCTTTTGCTCCATCTAGCATGAATTTAATTCTTATTTTATTTGGTATTTCCGTGTTTGTTCTTTTATTAATTAAATCTTGTATTGATCCATATTTTGCATATTCTGTTACCATACATATTTTATTAGGAATAAATACTGCTCCATAAAAATGAATAATATATTCACTTCGAAATTTATCTAACATCATTACTTCTTTCTCAAATTCTTTCATTTTATCTTCATCTTTATCAATTTGTTTCATTTTTTTAATTGCTACTTGATTCCCTCTAAATTCTCCTATATATACTATTCCAAATGATCCTTCTCCTATTTTATGTTCTTCTTTAATTTCATCGGGATCAAGTCGTGTTGATATTTGTGTTTCTCCTTTAATTGAAATACTTTTAATTATTTCTTCTTGTGTTTTATTAAGTGTTTTACTAATTATCATTATTTGTTCTTTAATTTTAGTAGTACATTTGATTGTAATGAATATTTCAAATTCACATGCATATCCTCCTTCAATTGTAATAATATTTGGGTTTGTTCTAATTGAATATTTTTCATTTTCTTCTTTACTACTTATTTGTATTTTCTTTTTTTCTTTATTTTCATTTCCAATAC